TGGTCAGTCAGCTGTGCGAGCGACCATCCGAAGCGAGCTCGATTCTTCTTCCACGAAGGTGACCGCCATGGCCGAGTGGCCGAGCGCGAAACGAGTTTAGAGTTCGTATTAGACCGTCCGTGCCAATCGCCAGCGCGGTCAGCTTCTCCGCAGGGCACAGGAACAGTCAGTCCTCACCGACAGAGGGCGGTGATGGAGAGGATGGGGGGCGGGGCGCAGTGGGCGGAGGAGGGGTTTGTGTGATAGGCGGAGGGCGGGAGGCGCAGAGCCCTGACGGCGGCGGCGGCGGCGGCGCGTTCACTCCTGACCACCATGCCCGCCGCCGCCGCCGCCGCCGCTGGCCACGGTCGATTAACGGTTCTCGGCCGAGCCGCATCCAGCTGGCCCTCGCCGCAGCGTCGCCGAGCAGCCAGCTGCGAGCCAGCGTCGTAGGAGCTCCATAATAGCGCTGCGGGGTCACCGGCCGCCCGCCCGCCCGTCCACAAAGCCGCTGTCGTGATACGGTCACACTACCGGAGCCATCGACTGCTGTCAGCGCCCTATCGAGAGGCTGGGTGTGACCTCACCTCGACCGGTCGCGGCTCGGCTCCAGTCGGCCTGCAGTGGACGGACCGAGCCTCTGTTTGTGAGACCAGTTGACCGGGTGAGTCACTGAGAGATGGGCAGAGTGACGGAGGAGGACAGAGGGAGGAGGCGGGTGCGGTCACCACCGGAACTGACGGCGCCCGGCGCTGCCCGCCTGCAGCGGCGGCGCACCTGGTTCGATCAGGGAGCGGTCCGACCAGTCAACAGTACACCGACCATACTGGGTCAGACGGCGGAGCCAGGGGCTCGGCACGCCCAGCAGGAGATCCCAGAGTGCAGCGGCTCTCTCCGCCTCTACCAGAGTCGAGAAACGCATCCAGCGACAGCAGGCTCCCTGTGTGGTGTCTGACGTCACCAGAGTGCCCCCGAGCGTCTCCAGAGCGGCGGCCCAGAGGTAAACAAGAACACGAGCTGGGCGTTCGGCCGGACTGCTGGTTCTGCGGGGGTCGGACAGCTGAAGGATCGACTCTGACAGCGCTGACGGCTGCGAGGACACGCCGACAGCGGCCGACAGCCACTGACAGATCTCCCACAGACAGCCGCCGCCCCCGCCGCCGCCGACAGACACAGGCCGAGCTAAGGTGTCAGAGGTACGCACATCAGACGGGTGACGGCCCGATCGGTCACCGCCCACGCCCCTGAGCGGTACACGACCGGTCAACACGATACACATCACGTCTGATGTGCGCGTGAACAGAGCGAGGCGCATCGGGTGACACGGCTGTGTGATAGTGGGTAGTTTCTTATCGATTACCATCAACACCTCGGGATAAATAACTGCATGCCGAATCCTGAAACTGAAGCAAGTTGCCCGCTTGTTGCGGATAAGTCGGGAGTTTTTACATAAACAGGGCAGGTAGAAAACCATGAGGGATGTTCGATAACAGCGGAAGCAGCTGGGCAACATAATGGCGGAAGAGGGTTGGAAGCGTTGGTAGTAAGACTCGGACGGCAGGTGCGGGGGCAGGTGTGATGACGGCTCCTCAACCCTTGTGCCGCACTCGTGGCGCGTGCTGAGGAAAGGGTCAAGACCAGCTGGCGCCCGCTGCTGCTATTTGAAGAGGGAGGGGCGGCTACCAGGGGCCGCAAATGAAATCCCCCGCTGTAAGACTGAACTATGGCAGCATTACTCTGTAGTCTCTGCGCACCGCCCTGCTCTGCCCGGCGCTTAGCTCAGCGCCGTAAGCGGCACGGTCGCGGGCTGGATTATATGATAATAGGCAGAAGGTCCGGGAGATAACCCTCTCGCTGTCGACTTATACGTATGTCTACTCACTTTATGGGTGTTGACTCTAAATACGGGATCAGTTATTTGTTGTCAACATCGATGTTCTGTTCCGCGAAGCGCTGCTAAATCTGGTTAGTTGTGTCATAAATTTTCCGTTTCTAAGAAAACGTTAAACACGTAATACATCAGCGGCACATGACCTCTTCCACCTCAGAGCCGCAATACCGGTGATGTGATAGTAGCCGATACTACCGCCGTGACCATGACATCACTGTGATGACGTCATGATGACATCATACGGGTCACGTGCATTGTAGCGAGACACCGGCCTGATACCAAACACACCTCGACGAGGTAAACATGGCACCGGCTCACATAAAACCCCTTTAGCGGTATTGGCCAGAGAAGGTAACAGTTGCAGGCATGTCACACGCAGAGGAAATTTGACACGGGTTGTTGGTCGTGGGGATCATGGATGATGAAAGATTCAGCTGACAGCTGATGTCTGCGCTGTCGATTCGTAGAGGCGGCCCACCAAGTTCGCGGCGCTGTTTTGTTTGGGTTCTTTGCAGTGGCAGGTGGGCCTATCGTGGGCGCGGCGCAAAGCCAGGCTGAGCCCTTCTTTGCTGTGCGCTTTGTTTGATCTGTGATGTGCAATCTCCAAACACATTGGGCGCATCGTGCTGTGAGCGGCTTCCGAATGTCCTCGGTGTGGCTGACGTCATCCGTTTGTCCTTTTTAGCCGACTGATTTGGACTTCCTGAGACCGTATAAGCGGCCGCGCGGTGTATGCCCTCTGTGACTGGGCTGCCGCGGTCCGTGTGAGCGCCTTCTGCCGCACCTTTGGACGTCCGCTGCGCTCTGGGCCGTGTCCACCGGGCCTTCCCACGGCAAAGGGCCGGCGGCGGCGCGCAGGACGGCGCGCCGGTGCGGCGTTGGCCGCACTTTCCGGGCCGGCCGGTCACAGCGACCACTGTCCGCTCTCACGGCTCAGCTATGGGAGCGGTACGACGGGAAACGCCGCGCAAAGTTATGCTGTGATAAGAGGAATTATGCGAGCCGGTGGTTAAGCATGGTGTCTGCACCGGCCGGTAAGGACAATAGAGTGACGGTGGTTGTAAAAGGCCTGATGGGAAGCACATGATCGTGTAAAGTGCGGGCGAAATTATCTTAAATTATTTCCTAAATTAAATTAAATTAAATTATTTCCTGTAAAGAGCGTGTTGGACCTACGGAAACACCCGTTTCGTAAATGTTTCGCCTTGAATGCTGTGTCGTCAATCGCGAAAATTCCGACGATGTCGTTTCACGGTTGTCGCACGATGTCTTTGTCCAGGGAAACGAGCGATTGTAGTCTGGGAACCGGCCATCAGCTCCGGAGAAGTCGCCAATGACTTCACACGGACCCAGAAAAGAGCGCTCTCCTCAAGTGTTCGACAGGCAGAAATCACATTTGTTTGCCGTAGAAACACGGAAGCAGCCTGGTCGGCGCCTTTGTTGTGTTTCGACAATCATTTGATGACCATCTGATGACTATATAGGTACTCAGTCTTCCAGCGGTTTCACTGCGATATCAGTATCGCAGATCAGTGCCAGAGCACCTGTTCAAATGAGCCGTCATCACACGGCCGCCACCGTTCGGTCACCGTCCGGTGGCCGTGGCGACTTCCAACCGCCAACACCGCGGGGGGGGGGAGGGGGCGTCTTCCGGTGTCAGCGGCCAAAGCCCTGACCACAGTGTAGGTCAGCCGCGGCTCAGAACAGGTCCGGACCCGCCGTGTTGACCTGATCGGGCGCTCCAGCCCGCCATCCTCTCCGGTATGTTTGCCCACCCGCCGCGCCCGGAGAGAAATTCAACGGCGCGTTGGCCGTTACAACCGTCACCGGCGGCTGCATATTTAGCGTTTTTCAAACGTGTCTCGCAGCGCCGTATCGCGATGGCCGTGAGTGCTGAGAGTTCCGCCCCGCGCTGACGCCCCGGCCTGAGATGGAACGCGCTCGCCGGTACATAAATATAGCGCCGTCACTTTAAATACGGGGCGCGGTGAGTCAGCCGCCGCGCTGGCCACTGGTGAGTCAGCTGAAACATGTGCGACAGGATCCGGCCAGGACACCTCATGTGGTGCGTTGGTGGACGTTTCAGGGCACTTCGCGTGGTGCATTGGAATTGACGTTCGAAAAACAGCGAGAGACTTCCTTAGGCTGGCATTGCCGGTGGATAGGTGTGGCTGAATAAATGGGACGTAGGTCGTCCCACATCCGTCCTGCGACATCTTATCAGCAAACCCGGGTCTATATACAGCTCTTTTCCAAAGAAACTAAACAAGAAGGTGATGTCCTTCAGAAATAACTATAACAATTATTCAACCAGGAAAACACTTGTGACTGTTTAACATCTCAGTAATAAGTATGTTCTAGAATGGCTGATGTGAAGCACGCTGTTGCCATCCTAGCAAAACGGCAGTGATGCAATTTATAATCGCGCAAATCGTAAGGCACAGCGTGCACTTATCTTCCCCTCCAATATAGCAGTCCATTAATGGAGGCGTTTTCAGTCACGAAGTTCGTGCTGTGAGCAAATCATAGTCACATCGACCTTCACTGCCGGAGCGCTGTGAAAAGACGGCGGCCCACGCGGCCCGCGGCCTTCTCGTTCGTCGCTTAGTTTGGCGCTCAGTCAGCCAACAGTCGATGTCCTCTGTTGGCTCTCAGTCTGGCCCTCACTATTCAGCGGGTCGGCCGATTGGGAGCCAGTGAGGCGTGTCGACGCCAAGGTGCAGCGGACAACGCGTCGAATCCCGCCCCTCGGGCTGTCGATCCGCCCACCTGGGCCCGCCAACGGTCCGTCGACGGCGTCACAGCGCGGCCGGCCACAGAGCGACGACCTCCTGCCAGGGGCCCTCGACCGCGGGACGCGTGCTGCAGCCACCGCCACGGATATCCTCCAGTGAACAGATTAGCATACAGATATTGATGTTGGCCGCTTAACGGGCCAAAGAAGGAGCGGCCGATGGATCCGCCTGGACTGTGCAGGTGTGGCGAGCGATGGAACAACGCCAGACAAGTTCGACGAACGATTCGCGATCAGAGGCCGGGAAGCAGTGGTCCGGAAAGTCCATGACCTGCCGCTAACACATAAATCACTATAGGTTTTACAGTAGCCAAGCTTCAGGCGTGTATTACTCACATTGCAGTCGGGCAGAACAGGTGCTCCTTTAGTTCGCGTCATAGTCGCGGGAGTCTGCTGGGACAGCTTGAACCCTCCCATTTTCGCCTGCTTCTCTCCACAACACTGTAACCGATCACAACCGTCCACTGGTCTGAGCACAATCCGCCGTTCACAGCAGAGGCCGTTGGAGCGCGCGCCGCCGCGTCACATCAGAGGTGGCCCTGTGGCCGCCGCGCCAGCTCGAGCCGCACTGCCCGCCGCCGCCGCCGCCGCCGCCGCCGACCGGTCGGCCAAGAATGCCCGCGCCGCCGCCGGCCGGGTCGTCATGGCAACGGCCACAGCGCAGCGGGCAGCGGGTGGGCGCTGCCGCCCGTACGGAGGTAGTTTTTGTCTCAGTCGGGGCGGCCAAAGGAATCGCCCGCTCCTCTGTGGACGGTGGTAAAAATTATGGACACTTCCTTTCGGACACTTTGTGGGGGATGATAGCAGTTTTTACTGTGCTGAATAGTTACATGATTGCCATTCGAAAGTTTTAGTGTGGTTTATTCACACGAAAGATGTTCCCCACTATCAAAGTCAACACGCATTGATAATTAATATACATAGGTGTGCAGACGATAAAATAACGCATCTCGATCAAGTAAACGCATCGAGAGCTCGAGAGCTCAAGCAAAAGATCTGTGACTTTGACTCATTAGAGCAGTGCGGATCATGGCTTCGTTGTGGTATCTCATCCCTGCCTGCCCTAATGTAAAAACATTTATTCATTCGTGGATTAATCGTCGTGTCTTTTAAACTGTAATAAGAAAAACTAACCCACATAAATGAGCGCAAAAACCGGAGGAGAAGGTCGTCAGACATGGTGAGCGTTGACACTATTCATTTGTTTTGTGCCCGCATGTCCCGTTACATGCAAAAACGGGACCGGTCGGCCGGAACGGCGGGTCTCGTATCGACCTCCCGTCAACGGGTGTCCCAGCCCCCAGCCTTCGGCCCCCAGCCCCCAGCCCTCAGCCCTCTGCCATGGCCGTCACCGCTCGATTAACCTACTAACTCCCTCGCCGGGAGAGTGAGAGTCGCAGCCACCACTTCCCGAGGGGAGACTGCGACGGCAGACCACGCCACCAGCCGGAGACTGCGACGGCGGATAGGAGCACAACTGGAGACTGCACGACGGCGTTGGGCAATAACACCAGGTCCGGGCGGCGGGCGATACCTGGCCGCCCGCACGGGACAGTGCGTGTGCCAGCTATCACCGACAGTAGGTTAATGAGGTGCAAGCGTGCCCTGATTTGGGTTATTGTATGCATAAGCGTGATGAGAATCGGCCGCAAACGGGCGGCGATGAGGACCGATGATGCGGCGATGGGGAACGATGAGGCGGTAACAGGCGACACACGAGTCCGGCCGCCGTGCCGTGGTGACCGTCACAAAACAGACGAGGTCGGCACACCGTTCTCACAATCAGCAGAGCGGTCGTCTCCGTGTCCTTCCCAGTCGCCCTGACCCAGGAATATTGGACAGTGGACCGGAAAACGACCGCGACCAATCGGCGCCGGGCGCACGGCCTTCTCAGGCCGGCCTACACAAATTGCAGGCAATAACGGCCCGATCAATTACCGCGGCAGGAAAATTCGGCGGCCGCGGAGGGAGCCGAGGCTGTGTGAGCTCTGCGCTCAGTCTCCCTCGCTGGCCACCGGGTGATTGCGTATTCGGCGACCCCAATAGGCGCCCGGCAGTCCCAAATGAAAGTGGGGTTGACCCGGCGTGCTGGGGTTGCCGGCGCCGCCCACCCTCCTCACCCCTCAGCCAGGTGGCGTAACGCCACACAAACAATGGATGATCACCGCCTCACGATCCCTCAGCATGAACCCTTTTTATGACTCCTTCCTATGACTCCATGGCTCCTGCTCATGGTTCTTGCCCAGTTTATCCTTGCTACTCTTCTTCCTCTTGCGGTACAGCTCTTGTCCTCCTGACAACTGCCCGACCCTGTCAGGGGTAGTAGGATGGGAGTCCCGGCCGCCTGTCCCAAGCAGCTACGCGGGCAAGCCTTCTGGATGAAAAGACATGCTGGGAAGCCTAGTTGAAGCCCCGCTGTGATAACTTCACTTGAATGAAATTAGCATTGCGCATTAATTGCTACTAGCTTTCGCTGCAGCGTTGTAGTTAGTTTCTCAGGCGCACGAGTGAAACATTGTTATCACAAACACAAACTAAAATTGCATTTATTTGCCCCTCACTATTAGCTTCAATAGCCTAGCCACAGCCTGGAAAACCGGGCAACATTTCTGGGAATACCCACAAAACTCGTATCCAAATTCGGAGTGAGATGCTGCAGCCTGGGCACCTCCCTCCACCCTACCTGTCCGCCCACGGCAGCCACCGCGGGGCGCGCCCTAAGGTAACGCGAGGTGCCGTGGCTGCTCAGACTGTTCGAACTTCTACCAATGGGCCGTCACTGCGCACGATACACCCCGAAAGGCACGGCCGGCACAGTATCGCCGGCCATCGCGGCGCCCGCGCCAGGTTCGCCGCGGTCTGCCTGACGCCCCAGGTTCGCCGTATAGCCTGTCTGACCGGTGGTGCACACGAGCTGAAGGGGAGGGTGCGCCGGGATGGCCCCTCTGCACCAAGAACGGCACCGAGCAGCCTTCGGTTCGTCAATTCGTGCACCAAACCGATACATGGGGCACTAATGTTCACGGTCGAGTGCTGGTCACGCGGTGTGTGTTTCAACACAATGACCGGCGCAGAGGCATGCGTACGCTCGCTAGTTGAGTGTAAAATTATACACATGGCTGAGTGTTTACAGACAGGATCAGGTTCAACACACCACAGATTCTGAACGCACCATGTTAGGCTGGAGCTACATTGGAGTTATAAATTCAGCACGCTATCGCTCGAAATGTGACCAAAATGCAGCACAAATGATACAAGTTAGATTCGTACGAGGACAGCCGACTACACATACTAGCCATCGACACGGTTTACGTCCTTACAATAGGTATAAACGTATAAAAATCTATTTTTATTCACTCTGAAGTAGCGGTGAAATCAGACTGATAAGTTTATCTCTCGTATAAGCGTCCCTCCTCTCTCCCTCTCGCTCCCTCCCTCTCTCTCTCTCTCTCTCTCTCTCTCTCTCTCTCTCTCTCTCTCTCTCTCTCTCTCTCTCTCTCTCTCTCCATCTCACTTCCTCCTTCCTTCCCTCTCCTCAGTTTTTCACAAGTCAAGTCGTCAGTGACCAGAGTGCTCAGAGGCCGCCCGAACAGCCGCCAGACGGAACTGCTGTGTGCACAAGTGAACAGTGTGCACCAGTGCAGCGTGCACGCGCAGAGGCGTCGGCGCTCTCTGAGCCGCCCCAGGGTCAGATTGCCGGCGCCAGAGGAGTGATGGTCCGTCTGTGACCGGTACCTACACCGCCCCTCCCCGTCCTCTATCCGCGGCTCAACCTGACCCTCCTGGCGGCACCCCGCCCAGCTCCCTGCACGCAGCCGGTGGCTGTGCTACACCCAGTGCAACAGGCTGCTAGCAGTTCCGCATAATAGCAAGCAGTGTTACTTATCATGGCTGTCGTGGTAGTTTTGAAAAAAAAACATGCTTACGGTCTAGTGAGCCACAAATGCCTAAAAATACACTTAGCTAATGTAAAAATCAAATGACATGCATCCCGTGGAAGTGGGGGAGAGCTCTACTCGCTCGAGGTGTGTCATTCCGGCGGCATCTTTCAGAGCTGTCAAACATCTTAGCTGTGTGAGGAATTGTTTCATGTTAGCTCACGTGTAGCTCACTAGTAATACGCTGCTCGATCAGCGATTGCAATGTTAGAAGGTGCGAGTGCCGCTCATATCTGTTTTCCTTTGATCTTGCCGGTAAGCTGCGGCTCTTGTAATGATGACGTCAAAACCTCACATTAAGGTAAATGTATTTTTATAGGTGAAACTGGATAAGCCCGGAACGTTAGACAGTGGAGTCGGTTTGTTTGTGGCTGCCGTCACCGGATCCGTCTGTAGGAGTAGTATTTAAAAACGCCGCCGCCAAGTTCTAGCCGTTGACCGGAAGTTCCCCTCCCCACTACCTGTTAACGACCTCGGGATCTTTTCCGGTAAATCCGGTCTCCGGGACCCCTGTTTGAGGACTTTTAGGTTGAGGAGCGCAATTAGGTGGACCTGTCACCTGATGCCATTTAACGCGCTGACAGATTAACGTTTCCGGAGCAGGCGTCGGCAGATAAAATGCGGCTGGGACAATCCACCTGAAGGCTGGGTGGTTGTGTTAGCCATGACCAGTGCCATGTTCGACAATGATCGTGACGTCGGAACTGGGCATTGCGTCACTGCTCTACGCTCATAGTAAAATGCGAGTACTTTGTTGTCATATCATGGGTCAATTTTCCGCAGATAAATTATGCAACAGAGGTACATTCCTGCAGCAACACGACGCTGCCATCATAGCGTCATGTTTCCACACTTTCATTTGCACGCGGGACGTGTCTCATTAGCGCATATGAATACCTTTGTGTTCACACTACACTTTCCCTTTGAAGATACCCAGCACAATATTGGTGATGCAACTGTGCGATATGGCTTTGCCCTCGGATAAAATGCATCTCCTATCTCCCTTACAGACGCTGTCGACATCAGGTTCCACTATATATGTCCCAGAACTGTGGGAAACTGACTGTTGACGGACCGTCTGCCACACAGGCTACCGTGCCGGTCAGACGGGGACCTTGGCCGAGTGCCAATAGTCATCAGCTGACCGCGGCTGCCCTGACCCGGCCCCGGCCTGGGAACCAGCGGCCACAAACGACACAGGCGCGACTGTCAGGTCCAGGTGCACAATGACAGGGATCACATAGCGGACTGAACAATCATCGGGCAACAGGGTGTGTCTGAACCGACGAGCTACTAGGCAAACTGTCTGCCGACCTGTCCTGCTGAAAATGAAGGAACTTTTTAAATGTCACGAGCTGAGATGGGTGGTGGGTTGTCTCGCTCGCATCAGACTTACAAATTAAATGACTTTTGGCTATAGTCATTCGGTGCCCAAAAAGCTTTTTGTTATTAGGATTGAGGTGCTGCGCTATGGAGCGGTTTTGCGGCGTTCAGCTGGCAGTTCCTGCGCAGAATAAGCCATGAGCACGATCTCCTGCGATAATGCACAGCCGGCATTTTCGCAGCCTGAAGTCATGATCACGCTCAATTCTCAGCAATGTAAAAAATGTTCTACGCATATCTGCTTAGCT